TTTTTTTAAGATTTTTTTATTTTTAAGTAATCTCTGTACCCAACGTGGGACTTGAACTCACAACCCTTAGATCAAGAATCATGTTCTCCACTGACTGAGCCCACCAGGTGCCCCAAGAGAATGTGATCTGCAGAGTTACATTACCCTCCGAATGTTCAGTCTTCAACAAAAAAGTACAAAGTATTCCAAGAAATAGGAAATATAGCCCATTTTTAGGGGAAAAAGAGAATTATACAGAAACCAGTTCTGAAGACATTCACACAATGGAATTTAATGGACACAGATGTTAAGTCAACGTCTTTAATTTGTGTAACAAGTTAAAGGAAATCAGGGGAACAAGGTACAAACAAAGAGGAAATGCTAGTAAAGACACAGGAATTGTGAAAAGGAACTAAACAGAAAATCTGGAGCTGGAAAGCACATTGGCCGAAATGAAGAATTCATCAGGGAGATTCTACAGCACACTTGAGCGTGTTAGAGGAAGGGTCAGCAAACGGGAAGATGAAGCCATTGAAATCACCCAGTTTGAGTAGCAGAAATACAAAGAATGAAGAAACACGGAAGGGCAAGGGAGAGCTGGGGAACACCATCGGGACTACGAGTGTGCACACCACGGGCATCCCAGAAGGAGAAGAGAGAGAAAGGGGCGTAAAAATATTTGAAGGAATAATGGCCCCAAACTCCCCAAATGGGATGAACGATATGAATCTGTATGTCCAGGAGTCTCAGCAATTTCCAAGCAGGACAAAGTCAGAGAGGTCCTCACGCGGACTCGTTCTAATCAGTCTATCAAGGGCCAAGGTCAGAGAGAATCTTTACAGCAGAGAGAGGGGTACTGACGTGTCCCATACAAGAGCTCCGCAGTAAGGCTTCCGCAGGTTTCTCATTAGGAGACTCGGGGACCAGAAAGGTGACACACTTAAAGTCATGAAAGATACAGACAAAACCCAGTCAACCGAGAATTCTGTATCCAGAAAAGCTACCTTCCAAAAACAAAGGGGAAAGTGAGATATTTCCCGATAAACAAGATCCAGAGGAGTTCATCGCGGGGAGGCCTGCTGTACAGAGCGCTACGGGGCGCAGTGGAAGGGCACTAACGGGGACCAGAGCTGCACGAGGAAGCACGGGGCAGGCGACTCCACAGGAAAGCGCGAGTCGGCATTCCTGCAGTTTTGGTTTTAACTCCTCTTTTCCCCCATATGATTTAAATGTTTTTTTTATTATTATTTATTTTTTTATTTCTAGGAGAGAGAGAGACAGCGTGAGCAGGGGAGGGTCAGAGAGAGAGGGAG